TATGCATGAGACACAATGTAGGTTGAGATAAGGGAGAAGATACTTGAGTCTAGGGTTTTAAGCCTAGGGAGAGGAAGATTCCCAGACTCTGACGTGGAGATGATTAAACTTCACTAAACCCACTTGTAGCGACACACTCCTAGGCGACATTGGAGGAAAAGATAGCACACAATTGTGTGAATAAGTGGATGGACCATATGGAGTGGGATTGAGAGAAAGAAATGCGCTACTAGAAGGTAGAACAAAAGTTAGGGCGAGAATTGATGCCACAACGGTTGAACAGAAAATTGGTCACTTCACTTGTGACTTTGATAAGTTGTCACTCTGTGATCGCGATGGCGATTCTCACTCACGATGCTGACTACGATGCCGGCGAAACGTTTGGGAATGTTCCCATCCAATTTTCCAAAGCTAAAATCACTTATACAATGGCAGATGACTCGGGACTAGGTACATTCCAAAAGGTCTCCCTGACGCCCCGACCAAGCTACGAAAACAAGGCCGAACGAACGCCACAAAGGTAAAGGAGACTGCGAACAAACAGTTCACACCATCTTGATAATTGGAACTACTATAGGAAAGTCAGGGCTAACTATTTATGTATGCTGTATAAGCTTAAGTAAAGGGCATGTGGAGTTAGAAGAAAAATCAAGCAAGAGGAGGCTAGAATAACCTCTATTCTTTGGTTTTTGAATATGTTCTCGAGACTACCAATAAATTATCACCTTAAACGAGATATAGTGGACACATCTTATAGAGACTCTAATCTGTTTAGGACCCTCACACCTCTTACAAGTTGTGCATTGTTTACACAATACATGTATGTTTAAAATAAGGTCAGCATTGTAGGATCAAGTGCTAGTTATTTATGGAATAAAACAGGTGCGTCGACCTCATTCATCTGCTAGCATGTTGAATTTTGAAGAAGCTAACCAAATTATGGAATGCTTCAGCCAGAGCCCAAAGAGGTGGATCCGCTGTATCTCATATAGACTTCTGGTCAAATTGGCTCCGATTTACTATTTTTTGTTTTATTAGTAGGTTTTCGAGACTACCTCTTAATTATATATATGAATTGTTGAGCTTACTTCCATTTCGAGTAAAAGTGTTGGGTGAAGAGATTCG